ACAATATAAATTCTGAATTAAAGAGAAGGAGTCCCTATGTCGTTCGAATGACATCCTATTATCTGACAATCTTTACTATATAAATTAACATTTTAGGCAATACTTGTAATATTTTCGATCTAAAAATTCAACAATTACGTCTTGTCCAGTCCATAAATCTTACGAGTGAATATTTCCATGAATTTGGTCAACTAATTTCTGATGTTTACCAGAATTACAAAACAAAAACATTTAAGAACTACAAACATAATTTTAGTTACATATATTTCAAAAACTTATTTTTTCTTTTCAACAGTCCAACTGCGAGTTTTGTACTTAGTTTTCTGATTGGTTTGTTCTATTAAGTTAGGGCAACAATTTGTTTTATGTAAATAGGTGCAATGGTCCAGTCTAAAATTTTGACTCTAAATTATTAATATGAATTCAATGAAATCATTTACTTTGATAGGTAGAGAATTCTCTGGATTTTAAATTAATTACTCGACCTTAAAACAAATGATTTTTTTTTGCCACATTAAGTTGCCAAATCTAAGTTGGATTTCTCAATTTTCGACCACTGTACAATAGTGGGGTTAACGCCAAAGGCCAAAAGTGTTGAAACACAAATGCGACATACAAAAAACGACGACGAATAAGAAGAAGAAGTGGAAATACGCGGCTGCTGCTGCCTCTGCTGCTACTCGTGCAACATGTGTAGTTTGTTGGACTTTTTTGTTGGGGCTGCACTCTGAGTAAAAAAGCAAAAATGAAGACATGAGTTCTGCAGCGACCTTCTTTTGTAAACGGCTACATAATTGCTGACTGCAGCCTCCAGCCTGTTGCCTTTTGGTTTGCCTAGGCTTTGCAGCTAACGAGTTGCAAGTGCTGTGCGCGCCCCATTTCGAGGTGAGGCAAGTCGACTCTCAGTCATGCTGACAGTTGAGAAATTAGAACGGTTTTTGTCTTTCAAATCACATGCACGTGTTACGCTCTTGTCTGTGTGATTGCCAGCCCGTTTGGGGCAGGTGTGCAACATTGTGCAGCAACAGAGAATTGTCTAAGGTCAGTTGTGACTGCCGTTGCCGTTGCTGCTGCCACAGATGCTAATGCTGCTGCTGCTGCTGCTTGTGCTGCTGTTGCATTTCATTTAAAGCTCAGGCGCACAGAATTTAATTTTCGGCTTTCATGCGTTTTGCAATCAAGGTAAAGAAGAGCAGCCACGATTGCCCCGCAGTTGCATCAAAATGCTACAAATTGTTGTAAATTTATATGATGCAAGCGAATGAACGAGCCAACGAGCCAACGCATCGCAAAGATCCCGGGAACCAGGCCCAAGCCCAAGCCCAAGCCAAAGCCCATGCCCAGACCTAGACGCAGAGGCAGATGTTGCTGCAACATTTTCAAGGTGTGTGTGTTTAATCAACGCCGCTGCAATTTTGATTTTATTTCCCATCTTCTTCCCCCTGCTTCCTCCTCCTCTCTTGTTTATTGCGCCCCCATTCAGTTTTAATGATTTTATTTTCATTTTTATTCCCATGTTGTTCAATTGCTTACTTGCTCGCTGCCCGGCTGGCTGGCTGGCTGGCCGGCTGGATCGGACTAACAGCGAGGGCCCCTAAACGTTAATGTCGGTTTGTTTGCACAAATCTTCGTCGGCTGTCATGTCAATTTCAATTTGGTTGCCTTTTTTGTTTTAAAAATCGGCTTCATGAGTTGCATATTTGGTTGCACACCGGCTAGGATACACTGAACAAAATGAAAACTATAAGGTTCTAAATTCCCCCAAAAAAAAACATATTATTGGTATTGGCAAATCCAGCTAATCTAGGAAAATCTAATCCCTTGACCCAGGGCTTTGGTGTTTGATTTACTTGATAAATTGAAAAACTGTCGACACATGAACAAAAGACTTTAAAAGACATCTTCAAAAGGTGAATGTTTAATTTTGTAAATATGTTGAGTTTCTCTTTTTAAATTCAACCTTTTTCATGGAAATATTATTTTTACTTTTTAATCGATATTTTTAAATTGAAACTTACAATTCAATAGAATTCAGAAATGTATGTGAATGACAAAAGATTTCGTTACAGTCAACTACGTTCATGAAGTTAGTGTTTTTTATTCTGCAACTAACGATTATTATTACTTATATCTTTAGGTAGTGATGTGCAAATACATTAAGACACATTGCAGACGATGCATTAAAAAATCGGTAAATTTATTGATACTTAAATATTTTTTCATACTTCCATGGCCTTGTAAAATGCCTTGTAATGGCGCCCCGACCCACGATCCAAAATAGACTTTAAGCAATTTAAAAACAAGTGTAATAATTTACTATGATTTGTGCACTTTTTCTCTCAGTGCATACACAGGTATATATGCACGTGTGTGTATTTTATGCCTGGCCCACGTAGCCTCGGCATTTGGTTTGTTTACTGCATTGCGTAGGTGGACATTGGCGCATGTTTTGCCCATTTTAGTTGCTGCTCTACGTGATTGTGCTCTGTTCTTATTGTTGTTGTTGTTGTTGATGCTGTTGTTGCTGCTGTTGTTCTTGCAGTTCGGCTCAGTTGATTATTGCCTCTTGCCTGGCGCATAAATCTCTGTGTTTAAATCTCAACTTAAACTTGTAAATTAAAACCTTAATGAGTTTGCTTGGCTCTGACTTCGGATAACATGCTGAGCCACGCGTGTTGCCCAGGGTGTGATTTATGTTGTTGCTATGGCACTTTGAGGCCGTTTAATGTTTGCTCTGCACTTCAGTTGATTCTTTAAATTGCGAAACAAAATTATTTGTCGTTGTTGTTGTTGTTGTATTGAGAAACAATTTATATAAATAGACAGTTTGTATAAATAGATCTTCGAAGATGAGCTCTTTTTCGATCAATCAATTGTTGTTGTATACCTGGAAGGTAACACATGTCCCTCAGAAGTATTTGATTTCTTGATCACGATATGGCTTTGGGTCTATTCTGTTCGAATTTTGAATCACATTTTTGGACAGCAAAATACTTCTTAGTCACTGATTTTGTTTAATTGTTGCTGAAATTTTTTATACCTTTGAGAGTTATCTAAATGGTTGAACTTTTCCTATTCAGATTTTGGCACTTTTTATCTAAGTATCTCACTACATTTAAGAAGGCGTTAGAATGGATTACTTAGTTGCATTCATACTTAACTACTACTATTACTTATCGTTGAATCATCTATCTATCGATTGCCTCTCCTTTATCTATTTATCTATCTACCTACCTATCTGACCATCTATCTATCGGCCTATCTATTTATTTATTTATCTTTCCATGTATCTATATATCTATCTCGCAATCTATCTAGCTATACATCTATCGACTTATCTATCTAGCTATCCATCTATTTAGATACGTATCTATATGCATATCTATCCATCTATCTATCTATCTATCTATCTATCTATCTATCTATCTATCTATCTATCTATCTATCTATCTATCTATCTATCTATCTAACTCTATCTATCTATCTAATCTATCATCTAATCTAATCTATCTATCTATCTATCTATCTATCTTCTATCTATCTCTATCTATCTATCTATCTATCGATCTATCTATTACATCTATCTATCTATCTATCTCTACGATCTATCTATCTATCTATCTAATCTAATCTATCTATCTATCTATCGTATCTATCGATCTATCTATCTATCTATCTATCTTCTATCTATCTAATCTATCTATCTATCTAATCATCTATCTATCTAGCTATCGATCTACTAGCTATCGAGCGAGCGAGCTATGCTACTAGGATCTAGCTAGGAGCTAGCTAGCGAGGAGCCTATCATCTAGCCAGCGCGACTATCATCTCGGCTATCTAGCGAGCGTCTATCTATCTATTGAGCATCATCTACAGCTATCTAGCTATCTACTAGTCGTATCTAGCGTAGTCTATCTATCGAGCTATCTTCTACCATCTAGCATCTATCTACTATCTAGCCATCTATCTATCTATCTATCTATCCATCTATCATCTACTATCTACTATCTACGCTATCTATCTATCTATCTATCTATCTATCCATCTATCCATCTATCTATTTAATTATCTTCCCATTTATCTATCTATATATTTATCTATATATCTATCTCTATATCTATCTACTTATCTTGTATCTCTCTATCTATTTAAAATATATTTATCTACCTATCTGTCTACCTTTCCATCAATCTCATTATGTCTTTATTATTATCCATTTATCTATCATACATATGTATATCCGTAGACCTACACATGTGCATATTCGTTAATACTAGGCTTTACCTTTCCTTTTAACTATGCTTCTATTCAAGTATATTTTCAAATAATCTGATTATTCTTTCCTTCACGTTTATTTTAAATGATCGAAACAAACATACTATCCAGGCAAACATATATTAATATGCATTTCTCCAAGACCCTAATGTCTTACCCGACTAGTAAATGCATTTGTTTCCTACCCTTGCATTAGCTGGCGAGCGTTGCAGCTGTGTCCCGTTCTTGGGTAGCGTGTCAGTGCACACGTTTTAATTGTTTCTGTATTAAATATCAGACCAATTAGTTTTTTATTCATACGAGAAAAAACAAACAAACAAACAAGCAAACAGGCGAACGCGACCGCAAGTTAAGCAAACGAAACTCACATGCCCAGGCGATTACTTTAAAATGATTTCTTGCTAATTAATGCGCTCTGTATTTTCTCACGCTTAGGCCACAGAACCAAAATACATGCACACATACATACATACATATGGTACATATAGCAAAGAACTTGTTTCGCACCTTGCCAGCAACAGGCGGCCAGGTGGGCTGCAAACTAGAACAGTTACTTTGTTAAGCTTCCTCAATAAATTTGCATAGCAGGCTCGTAAGTTAATTAATTTAAACAGACATCCGCAAATATTTACGAGCATGCAGTGCTTAAAGCGATTAAGGAGCGTTGTGGGCAAAATATTTATATACTTGTACTCATACATCGTATAATGGCAGGTAATACGAACCTTATCGTGCAGCAATATCCGCAAGCAGTGCACAATCCGCTCTAAAGTCTTGACAACGAATGAGGCCAAAAGTGTCAAAAGGCAGTGATGCAACAGGTATGCGCTGGAAAATTGTCCCTGAGTTTGGGAATGAGCGGAAAATGTCACAAGTAAATGCAAGTAATTAACATTAATTCCGGAGTGAAATGAAAAATTGTTGTACACAATAATTTTGATTATTTTTGCACACTAATTTGTTAACTCTTTAAAACTTCAACAACACTGCTTTGCCACTTTTTTTGTAAACTCTTTAATTACACAATGCACTTTAAACACAAAGACGCTACGAAAAATTCCAATTTAAAACTCGACTACGAACAACCGACAATAATGACGATAATGACGACGATGACGATGGCGACGACGACAATGTGACGTTCGCTTCCGTTGGCTCTACGTAAACGACTAAAAAGGCCACATAAATTTTATGCGCATTCAATAGGCCAGCCAAAGCAGCTGTAGCTGCCAAGCCATGGCGCTGGCAGCGCCGCTGACGCCAGTGGCGACTGCGCTGCCACTAGTTGTACATGCAACCAGTTCCCTTCCATTCACACGGACATTGTTTGTGGAACGCAAGTGGACCAAATGTGAGGGCCATCACAATGTTGGCCCGTACTTCCAGTTTCCACACAAATGCTTGAGTCCACAGTCGTTTCATTTGTCGGCTGCTCGACCGACTTACTCGTTGTGTTATCTTTTATGATAACACTTCTTTTTACGATCCTAACAGTTGGCCAGCTCCATGGCTGTTCGCCTAACCATATTAAACGCTGGTCGTCGTCTTCGCCGTCGCTGCTCGTAATGAGCGCCCAGTTTCATAATTTTTAGTGTCACTTCTGGCCGGAGGTAAGGTGCGTGTAATTGATAATATTTAGCTATATACGAGTATATAGTCGGTATAGTATATGAGTAAGTAGGTATGTCTGTGCACTCGTAGAAGTAGTTTTGAAATGGTCTTTGCTTTTAATTAATTGATAGCTTTATTAAGAGCTGTTAAGAGGTGCTGTTTGTTAGCTGCCCCAAGTTGTTATCGTAAATGTTACGAGAATGTTTATCTACCTCTTAATTTTTATACCTGCATTTAATGCTGCAGAGTAGGGCAGAGGGGGTCGCATCTTTGTGGTTATTGATGCAGTTGGGTATAAATGCAGTTGAAAAGTCATTTACTTAAATGCGACTGCAAATGAGTGCATTTCTTGTTCACTGAAACGCTATTCAGTAGAACTTGAATGGAAGGCTCGTAAACCGACTAACATGCTTCTAGTAAGAAAAGGACAATTGAATTTTATGTGATTCCTCAAAGGGCAACAGAAAATGGTCTTTTAAAGATACAACAATTTTTAGTTGAAGTAGGGCGTGTTTTGTATTTTCTTCTTTCATGAAAATCTTGCCTTTCTTTACCCTGTATCCCAACAGTGAAAGGTTTACTAAAAGGTCTTAATGTATTTGTAACAGGCATAAGGGGGCTTATACGAGTTTTAAGATGAGACACATCGATATTCATACAATTGATTTTCTTTGGACACATAGACGTGTACATGACAACCGATTGCAGCAAATAAGTGGCGTTTATGCTCGAAAATCAATAGCAATAGGATTTAATGGATTAGCGAACTTATTTGCCGTGTACTTTTGTAAATTAACGAATTAATGGTACAGATGGCAAGCATAAAACACTAAGCTTTCCAATAATAAAGGCAACCGTCCACATCGACCGCATCAGTCGAGATGTGATTTGGGACACTTTATCTGCTTTAATAACATATTCATAATACATAGTACATAAATTCCGAATAGTACTTAAAAAAGAATTAATATAATTAATTTTTAATAAATTAATTGAAAAACATACTTTTGCTATTATTAAGAGATCATAATGATTTCATCAATGAAAATAAATCATATATCATAAGCATCTGCGACAACAAAAAGCATATAGTATATTATAAATCAGCATAACGTCCGTCTGTATGAACGCTTGGCTTTTGGACACGATTGACCCCACATTGACGAAACTTGGAATTTTGACTCCCCTAGTCCATTTGTAATAAGTGTTAATTTTATTGCTTTAATTTTTACCTTCCCTCATCAAAGAATTTCCTCAAATAAAATTTGCTTAAAAATATATGTATGTATATGTAATAATTTTTTACACATTTAATAAATATCGTTTAATCCTAAGACTGCAAGTTTTCATTTCTTTTTGTGTTTTATTTCCTAAAACCTGAGTTCTAAGCACCATTTATTTATAATGATTTTGTTTACTTAAGATAATTTATTATTATTTCAACAAGTATAGGCTGTTGACATACAAGTACATAGCAAAAAATTTGCAATATTGTGTAGCTTCATATTGTTTCAGATTTATTTCGCAAAATGGAGGCTTAGGTGTAAGCACACAATGCAGCATTACCGCAAAAGCGCGGTAAATTCTTTGATATTTTCATTTAATTTAATCTAGCTTAGGTATTTTAAAGAAAAGCTTAACTTAATTAAAATTATTGTTGATTTATGGTAGCCATAAAGCCTAAAGTTGTCTCTCACATCAGTCGCACACATATAACTCCCCTCCAGCGACCCCTCATCTTGCTTAGGAAGAGCAGAAAGTCCAAAATTAATTAAAAATGCATTAAAAATGTTTGCTTTGCTCATTTCCGCCCATGAAATGCCGAGCAAGACAGTCAACAAACATCAAAACATACGAAGGCACGCACACTCACACTCACACACACCAACACACACGCACACGTTAAGCAAATACTCTGGAAAATACCAAATAGCTGCAGCAAAAAGAACAGCAAGAGCAAGAGGAAGACCAGGAGAAGGAGCAGCAAATCTTTTTCCACTTGCACAACTCCAAAGCCAAAGTATTTACAAGCGTCGTTCACAGTCGTCGTGGCCATCAACGCAGTCGTATCTAAAAATGTTTGGCATTTGGCAACACGCACCAATGAGTTAAATGGCAGGCGTTCGTTCGTGCGGCGGAGGGGCACTAGATAGTGAGCAGCCAGAGGGGGGCTAAGAAGGAGGGGAACTGCTCAAATGCTTGGATTCCAAAACGAGCTCATTTTTCGCGCACATTGCGCATTCCGCGACGCATTTTAAAATGATTTGCGCTGCATTTGGGGGGCAATTGGCATATTGGTGGGTGTAGCTATATACTTATGTATGCACCCGGAGAAAAGCAACATTATATACCTGAATAGTATTTAGGTGTACCTATTGAACAATTAATTTAGCTAGTGTATATCAACCTTAAAAAAAACAAACCATTTTATAATTTTAATTTATAAAAAAATTTATCAATTTGTAATTAATCTGGTAATTTTAGGTTTACATCGAGTAAAGTTTATGTTTAAGCTAAAGCTTTAAATGTTCAAACATAAAATGCAGAAAATAGTTAAATAATTTAAGAAAAGTACAAGAATGTCTATGACACATTTGGGAATTTTACATCACAGTTCTACGGATTGCTCATAATTGACGATTTAAAAGCTAAAACCTGCAAGAATACTATGACAAGCAAAGGCTTAGACCACAGCTTAATCTAAGGAGCATAAAAAGATGAAACTGCAACTCAATTTAAATATTCAAACTTAAAATGCGGAAAATAGTTAAATGATTTAAGAAAAGTACAAGAATGTCTATGACACATTTGGTAATTTTACATCAAGTATAGTTCTACGGATTGCTCATAATTGAGGATTTAAAAGCTAAAACCTGCAAGAATACTATGATAAGCAAAGGCTTAGACCACAGCTTAATCTAAGGAGCATAAAAAGATGAAACTGCTTCTTAATTTGTTCTGATGCTTTCTATACTGCGGAACTTAAACGCATGAGCAGTATTCAATCACAAGGCGTACTTAAGAAGTGTACAGAGGTTTAGTTGTAGGAGGATCATTAAATTCATTGGATCAAAGCTTAATCCAAGTACACCCACAAAAATTTTAAAAAATTTTGTTTAATTTAATATTGTGCGAAATTTAGCTGAGCGGCAACATAGGTGTGTATCGTCGGGTTGGATGCAGCCTGGAGCGGTTCATGCGCTTAGTCATGTAATGATTTATTACTTGGTGGGGTGTAAATTATTAATTTAAGAGTTATTTTAAAATAACATAAAATAAGAGCTTAAACGTTACTCCAGAAATGATCTAAATATCAAGTAAACTAAGACAAAGATTGAATATATTTGAATTTAAATTGAAAATCATATGGCTTTTTGGGCAGCTTAACAATAATTAGAGCGGAAATACAAGTATTTCAGTTTTAAGTTGAAAGAATGTGCTTTATATATTTATATATTTATTATACGAAGAATGTTATTTTGCTATTTTAATGTCAATCATGTTTCTTTTAAAATAATTTAAAATGTTTTATTGTGTGAAATAACAAATTTTGTTCTATTATTGAGGGACTGTCATTATTCATTATAAATATAGCACATTTGGCTTTGTGGAAATAACAAAATGAAGGACAGTTATTTACCTGAGTGCCTTGATCTAGCATTGTCTGAAGACTTATAGTAGATGTTACTTTTTTCATTAATTATTATTACATTCATTATTATGTTCTATAGTGGTAATGTGGGATCAGTTATGTTCAAAATTCTTGGTAATTGTAAAGCAGCTTCTGCGAGTTGTACCCAAGTAGTACCTAAGGTAGGAGTAGTAGTGGGGTAGTATCATACATAATTTTAGACGAGATTGAAAAAGAAAAGGCAGTCTGTTCCGTATCGCTTTTTATTAAGTCTCATATTTTAGTTCCAGTTAATTTTAATAAACTCGCAATCCAACGTAAGAATTCAGAAATGTAAAATATTTAGTAGAATTTATATGTTTGTGGATTGGAAAATGTTCACATTTGAATAATAAGTTTCTTACATTTACTTTAATCTTAATCTTAAACAAGTGCCAGCTTTTCTTCCTGTGCAAAAACCAAAGGGCTAGGTGTGGGGTGCGAGGCTCTGTTGGGTGTTGCAGGAAATGCAAGGCGGCTTTAGTTAGTTTTTCCTGCTGTTAGTTGAACTTATGGCTGGCAAACATGTAGGCAGGCAAGCATAACATGTCGAGACCGCAGACGGCGTGACTTGGATG